ATCTGCAACATTTATCCTGCACAATTTACTTTAAATCAAGAGCTGTATTTATTGAAGGTGAGACTAGCAATGAATAGGTTATTTTAATACTGTGACTGAATTATCTAGTTTAACAGCAAGAAAGAAAAAGGAACTAGTACATATTCAAAGAATTTTTTTATTACTTCAATAAATGTAGCTACTAAGAGTAAGATCAAACCAAATAAAATCTGCCAAGGAACAATATATATAATATGTTTCATAATAAATGATTTGTACCACTTAGCAGACATTGCAAAGGTGGGCAATGAAACACAGACTTCAGTACCAAATTCAGGAAGGTAGTATCACAAGTTTATTACTACCACATGTTGCATATTTCTGGCATCAGTGGTGAACCTCATGTAATGCTTTGAGAGCTACAGCATGTACAGTGAACCTACAAGTAGAGTATAAATAGGCTTCACAGTAAATGACAGAAGAATGCAATATGCTCCACCCACATGATGAAAACTGAATAATACTTTACATAAATCTTGAAATGCTACTTTTCTGGCTAAAGAATTTTTCAGTATCTTTCTCAACACATTTCTCAGAACACACCCATATTCTACCTTTCCAGCATTAATGAAGCAACACTGTTTCAGTTACACAGATTTTCAAACACTTAAGAAATTTCTAAAATCTGTCCACCAATTCACTGTCCAACAGTAACTGAAGTACTTAAATTCAGATTATAAAATCAGTCGCTCTATGGTTTTTATTTTTGCTTCAATTATGACCAAACAAGTTTGTTTGTTTGTTTGTTTGTTTGTTTGTTTCTTCAACAGCTACAACATACTGAAAATTTTCCTGTATAAAATTTTCCAAAATTGGCTACAACATACTGAAAATATTCCTGTATAACATTTTCCAAAATTCCAACACCACACTGGAATAAGAAAGGAAAAGCAAATTCCCCATCCTGAACCAAATTTCATCATTAACTTAAACACTGTTCAGTGTTTAAATTAGTTTCATACTTGCATCATATCATAAATAATGTTATAATGAAAATTTCTATCTGATATTCAGTATTGCTAGAAGACATTCACTAAATCTTGCTCAGTGACCTGCTACATCTGGGGAACATTGCAGACAGGCAAGAAGTTGGGACCACAGAAGGAAGATTATTTTACTGCAGCATCTGAATAAAATGTCGACTACAACCAAGATGAGGAACGTCTCTTTCATCCATACGTCACAAGAACTTTTCATTGAGCTGTCCTTTATCAAGTAAAGTAAAAGCAAAAGTAAAGCTATCCCTGTAACAGGCCGTGAAGGCCCATAGGGTTGTGAGATGTTGAGGTTCCCGTATTTTCTAGACAATCGGCTCAAAGATGGCAGTAAGGTTGTTGCGCCCGCCGCACTTTGCTCCCCAGGAAAATTATTTAATCAATTCCTGGTACTCATTTCTGTCAGAAGCTGAGTAGACTCCAGAGCCATAGTGTGGCTGGAAGGATTAGGTCAATTGAAAAAAAATCCAATGACCTCATTGGGACTTGAACCCATGACCTTCCAGCTTGCAGCATAGTGCCTCAACCAACTACGCTACCACGTGCCCCTTTAAATTAAAATGTTAAGACACATCTTTTAATACAAAAATTTTGTCATAAGCTGTCCTATTTTCAGCCTACAATGCTCACTGTTTACCACTGTTTATACGACAAAACAGAAAAAGCTGACAAATCAGTAGTTCATCTGATTCCACAGATGCATAGCTCCCTTCTTCAGTGTCTACATTATCATGTTCAGTTATAAAATGGAAATCTGTTACAGCCCAGAATTTATAATACTGTAGATGGAAATATTTGGCTCATGGCTCTGAAGGGAACCATTACATAAAATTCTAGTATGCTTATAATACTATATTTAAGCATCCTGTTGCACTTCATAGGATACCTAGTATGCTTGATATATGGATCCAAAAAGATAATTTTGAATTAATATCATGTCTTTTTCTTCATGTCATACCTGCACAGTGTCAAAATGTGAAACATGGAAGAATACCCAAGACTATGCCCAAGTTAATATTGCCACACCTCACACATTTTTGTATGGCATCTGAGAACACAAATACAGTATATTTACCACAGTCTATAACACTCGGTTGTTCAGGCCTGAGCTTTTTGTGCTTGATAATTGACATGTGGTAACTTTATGTTTCAAATAAAATATTCTTTGTGCCAGATATTTTAATATAACATACTTATTCACTTACATTATCATGTTTTTAAATATTTTCTAATAGATGTTTCAAATCTTCATGAACAGCCTCAATCCACACCCATTCATCACCAACAAACAAACCATGTGAAAAGAAAGACAGGTGATTTTCAACTTTTAGAATATGTGTAAAGTATTTATATTTTTAATTTACCTTGGTGGTGTGTGACAGAAATGATATAGGTAAGAGGTGAAAGAGGTATCCCTGTAACAGGCCGTGAAGGCCCTTAGGGTTGTGAGATGTCAAGACTTCCACATTTTCTTTAGACAATCGGCTCACAGATGGTCATAAGGTTGTGAGCCTTACGCACTGGCTACCCTTTAACTCCCAGGAAGATTCCTGGTACTCATTTCTGTTAGAGGCTGAGTCGACCCCAGGGCCATAGTGCGGCTGGAAGGATCAGGTCAATTGAAAAAATCCACCTCATTAGGACTTGAAGCTTGGACCTTCCGGTTTGTAGCACAGCACCTCAACCAAGTACGCTACCATGTGCCCCCAGAAAAGATACAGAGCAGTTATATTACAATCTCCTGTTCATACAGCATACAACCACAAATGCTATGCATTACACAATACAGTCATCTTCAAAATAGAATATTTTATATATTTACCAACATTCTACAAAGCAGAACACCATCTTGTTTTTTAAAAAAGAAAACTGAACTGAAATGTGGTAGTGTTGTATTCTTTCTCCCACTTATTGTAACACCAAACAATCTTTGCACAGGTCAATACTGCATTCTGCACATAATGTATGCATCTCTCCTTTACACTTTTTTTATATGCAATGTCTCATTTCACTTTGTAGCACCATTAAAAACAAACAGTGCCTCCCATCATATCCCCTGAAGTCTATTATTCTGCCACTTTCGATTTGAAAAGTGTAGTTTTCAAACTTATTGTTTCAAAAAAGACTGATCTATAAAATTTTAAGTTTTTATGGCAGTGAAGATTACATTATGGTCTTCTGAATTATGACTCCAACAACTTCAGGACTGTGGGCTTCCCACCTAGGAATATATCCATTTTCCTCCGGCCCGTGAAGGATGACTTGGCGCCAACAGCACTAGGCATTTACAATATCCACTGTATATGTATGATGGTTTATGCTGCAGACCAGACATTCCATTGAGATTAGGATCAAAGAGCACCATCAGCATATCCATTTTTATTAGCTGGAGTTCAGCAGCATAAGCCTGGGTCATCGAACAGTGCTACAGGATATCAGCATACTTGTCCTCTCCATAAAACCAGAAGTATGGAGCAAATCATCAGGGAAGGGACAGTGACTGTGCACTAATCTAACATACACAGGGAAGATGGCTTCTCCATGAGCACATCACAGAAGTCTCTCATTCTCATCCTGAAGGAAACGTAAGGGCTCTTTCAAAGGATATTCCTGATCTGGTTTTCTTTGCCCACAACTCTGAAAATAATTCTGTTACTCTCCCTTTCCCATCCTGTGTTAAGGGCTCTTTGTTAGTCCTTTTATGCTCAGTGAAAGGGCTCTTTTTCCCAATTCTGCTCACTTCTACATTGAAGTCTGAGGTAGCATATTCCTACAAAACATTGGTACCCACCTACCATACAATGAAGTGTCATAACCATGAGGACCATGATATGCAATTTATAGTTCCTGCTAACTTCACAATATGTATTGGGCATTGGAAGGAAAGCGAAGATCACAAATTCTTTCTATAAGAGATAAACGTTTCAGCTTTATTCAAAGGTGTGTCCAAGAGGATGATGCCTGTAACTACAGCAGTAAAGTCTCTTCAAAAAATGAACACTATTTTACAGTTTCCACCTACAGAAAAATGAGTGAAAAACATATTTGCTGATGGGATTGCTATTTATTAGCCTACCTCCTTATTCCATAACAAAAGACAGGTACAAAGAAACATCATGTCCATGTGTCCATCTGTGTACGCTCCATGTTAACACATTTTTTAACCAAATGATCAATCTTCATAAAGTTCAGCTACGAACACCATGCCAGTTAAGCCCACCTGAATGTCACAGTCAAGTGGGTAGCATTCATCTGCCTTGTATTATAGAGGTCCAAGCTTCAAATCTCAAACTGAAGAGTGACAGAACTTAATATTTCATAGTTTTCCTCACTTCCTCCAAGCAAATTCCAGGATAGTACCTTAACTTAGGCTATGACTGCTTCCTTCCATATCCTTCCATATCCTCTCCAATTAATTTTTCACTAACCACCCTGAGCCACCAGGTGTCATTAAATTAAAAAAATAAGGGACCATCCCTGCTCTTGTGTACTTTTCTCTATCATCAGTAATACTAACATGGAAGCCATGAAAACTTACGAGATGGGCATGACACTGATGCCACTAATAGCATACCAACACGGGATACTGAAATGTTGTGACAAGCATATCTTTAAAAAATATGTTACTTTGTTAAAGCAATGCATATGTGCAGGGGACGGAGGGATATAAAACAAAATGGCATCTCCATGAGATCTTTGGTTTGAGGGCAGTAATTAACAAACCACTGAATGTTAGGCACATTTGTATGAATGTGAATCATACACACACAAATCTGTATGAAATACATGTATACTGACAATGATTTAGTGACTATAGATGGAGTTTGGATTGGTAATAACTATAAATAGCTATGACAGTTTCACTGAGTTTCACATTCAAAAGGTCACTGTAACTACAGCATGCATAAAGTATTCTCAGTCTTAACTAGCCGTTGCTTGGTAGCAGCTTCCAGCGCTGGATGTCCCCCTTTCCTCTGGGTTCCTCAACTGTCCCTGGCCTCAGCTACCAGCTTCTCACTTCTCACAACTGCAACTCTCAACCAACATAACCGACTCAAAAGAACTACTAGTCTTCCTTATTCACCCCCAGAATAGACCCGTGTGTTCTCTTGGTGGCAGGGAGACCATGTACCCACAGAGGTGTTCCGTAGCATCAGCTGTTGTACTGTTGCCTGTTTACATAGCTGTTAATGGACCACTGAGGTCTAAGTGCAAGGGCCGAGATGGCCTACCCCTTCAGACATACATACATACATACATACATAGCTGTTATTTGGCAAATGGGTCTACAATTCACAAAATTTTATACTGTGAAAATTAAAAACACGGCGATGGCATGACACTATGATTGTATTAGGCATACTTAACAGTCAGAATCTGTGCTAGCAGAAATTATGCGATGCAAGAGATTACTGATGGCAAGCAAGTGCCATTCGCTTTTCCAAGAACTTCCAGTTGCTATGATCAATGATTTTCAATATACACTTCATAAGATATCATATTCACTGTTCATAATATTTAAAGGAATAATTCATTCAATCCTGTAATTATAATTCTTTAACTTTCTTCATGAGGAACTGAAGGAAATAACATGACAAATAAACACAGAATATATGTATGTGCTGCTCTAGCATTTATCCCTACATCTGCTGCCAATGAGGACAAAATGATCACATTTCATAATAGAAATTAAAAAAATATACATATCAATATAAGCATACAACTATACATGTGTGTGTGCACAGTACACATACACATACACATACATTTACTTGCAAGCTCTTGTGGCTTTCCTCCTTTAATATACACTATTATATATGCTGCATGTGTCTGTCATCACCTAAATTGCTACTGGTTGTTTGCCATTCTGTTATGTAACAAGTCCATATTAGGATCTGTATGATGTATAGGTGGGATATAGTAACCCATGCTTCCCATGGGCAACCCTCCTGGCACATATGATGGCACATGATATGATCCCATTAATGGGTTAGTAGTAGGCTGTGTGGTTCTATCCACTGAATCTTGGCTATCCTGTTGATGTCCTGTATGGAACACATTGCTGATAGATGCCATCTTAGCCCCCGTATGATTTCCACTGTGAAACATGTTCCCCATCTTAGTACTGTTGTTACCGATATGTGTATTGTAGATGTTTACAGCTGCCATTTTGGCAACAGTGGAACTTATGTTTCCGTGGTTCTGATTGTACACATTAGGAATCGTGTTCTGCGTTGTCATGTTACTGACTGTACTGCTGTTGCTGTTTTCACCAACACTGTGATTACTCAGGTTGTACACATTGCCAACAAGGGAGCCTGCTGCAAGTGAACTTGAAGTTGGAGTTGTTGAACCCATCTTGCTCGGACTAACAACTGTAATCCCTGTGCCAGCTCCGATGTTATTTGCCTACATTGGAAACACACAACAATGTTAGTAGAAAATGTTGTTGATTTCAGTAAATTGTTAAGGTATTTAAATCTACTCATCATGAGGCAGCAAGTTGAAACTCTCATAGGAGACAGTCGAACTATAGGGAATGATGACCTTGCCTTATAGAAGCTCCAGGTCTCACCAGCCTGGTGGGTAGTACCTGGTAAGGGCACCTTCCCAGGGGAGAGAGGACTTGTTAGCCATAATAGGCAACCTGTCTAAAGCAAGGAAACCCTGAACAAAAACCTTGTGCCTCCAACTGTGCTGTAACAGGATGATAACCTGCTCAAGTAATAAAAGAGTTACACATATTCCCCAAAGACTGAATTGCCAGATTAATCTAATCATGACAACTAAAAGCAAGAAACAAGGAATAACTGAAACACTTTGTATCAGTACTTGGAATATTGCAGGTTTTTCATACAGAGAAGATATAGAAGCTGAAATGGAGTGGATAACATTTATTTTGATATATTCTCTGAAATTAAAACTAAACTTAAAGGTATAAAGGAACTAAAGAAATATATACTATTTTTGGTGGAATGCCCCTGGAACAGTGAGCATCCTCTGGTGTAGAAGTTCTGCTGGAGAAATATAATTCAAAGCTGAAACTTGTCAATGACAGAAGTATAAATTTCTGACGTAGTCATTAAAGGATACCTAACATTAATCAGAATTTATGCCCCAGAGGACAGAAGAAAGGAAGAGTCTATTACAGAAACACATCCATTTATTATATAAATATGACTATTTAATTGTAGCAGGTGATTGCAATGACCAGGTAGGCAACAAACCCAAACAAAATATAACTGATAGCAATGGAGAATCTGTCCTAAATGAAAACAGGACAGCAATGAGAAATTTTAGCTCATTTAATGCCCTGAGAATAAACAATACACTTTTCAAACAAAGAGCAATACACTAGTACACTTGGGCTGCAAGAAACACAAGATCTATGAGAGATTATATCCTAACTAACAAGAAGACATCATGCCTAGTTACAGACATGTGGGTGTACAGAGGCTATGAAGTACATCCTGATCATTCTTTATTTACGTCTAAAATATCTGTACCAAAATGATGGATGAAGAAAACACAACATAAAATCAGATACAGAAAATGTATAAGGTGAACCTCCTACAAGAACCCATTACAAGAATATTATACTGGACAAGAATTAATGGACAGAGATATTGGGTTTTCAGACTTTATCCATCGTCCTGGTTTTTAAGATAACTATGAAAAACACAACGTTTCAGAAACTGGATATGTTTCCGTCCTCAGGTGAGGACGTCCAGTGATTGAGGCTAGCTCTTTCTAAGGGACCCAACAGAATAGGTGTTTTCCCTCACCTGAGGATGGAAACAGATCCAGTTTCCGAAACGTTGTGTTTTTCTTGGTTATCTTAAAAACCAGGACGATGGATAAAGTCCGAAAACCCAATATCTCTGTGTGTTATAAACCATCGTCAGAATCCTATAGTAACTAAGAATTAATGGACTTAAATAGGGGGGCATGCAGTAGCATAGTTGGTTGAGGGGCTATGCTACAAGCCAGAAGATCGCGGGTTCAAGTCCTGATGAGGTCATTGGATTTTTTCAAATGACCTACTCTTTCCAGCCGCACTATGGCCCTGGGGTCGACTCAGCCTCTAACAGAAATGAGTACCAGGAATTAATTAAAAAATTTTCCTGGGGAGTAAAGCGTGGCCGGGGTGTAAGGCTGACAAACTTACCACCATCTTTGAGCCGATTGTCTAGATAATGTTGGACCCTTAACGTCTCACAACCCTATGGGCCTTCACAGCCTCTTACAGGGATAGTTTTACTTTACCTTTTTACTCCATTTTTCTGGTATACATTTATGTATCCAGTGCTGGTTTGTAAATTGATAGAATATTAATGGAGAAATGTGGAAATTATGAAGATTTTAAGAAAAGCAATAGAGCTGATTGTACCAATTACAGAGGTATAAGCCTCCTTAATGCATTATTTGAAGTCCTGTACTACTTTGAATATAAGCCCTCAAATTCATAATGCATTCAGTTTTTGAATGTGGGTTTTAGGAAAAAAAACAGAAAGGTGCACATTCCTCAAATTTAAGACACACCTGAATTTTTCAACAAGAAAAATGTGTAAAACGTGCGTCTTATATTAGAAGTAATATGGTACATGCAAAGATTCTAGCTCAACAATTAAATGCTATAGAAGAAGCAATGATATTAGAGACCCAAACTCGATTCAGGAGAAGAGGATCATGTATGGATGGGGTATTCATTATTAAAGAGTTAGCAGAGAAAAGAACAGAACGCAATCTAGAAATGCATCTACTACTTCTTCCTCTGGAGAAGACATCAAGTTGTACATCCATACAAAAAATAAATTAAAATAGAAGTCTAGATCTCTATAAATATGTACATTTCAATATTATATTTAAGCATCCTGTTACACTCACACAATATATATGAGACAAACTCCGTCTTAAGTGCAACAATTTAATTGTAGTACTTTCTTCTTCCTCCACACTACATGTTTCGGCCCTAAATGGCCATCATCAGGTGTGTATTCTTACGTAGCTGCTACACTGCCCGTAGTTTAAAATTTAAAATCATCAGTCTTTCCAATTGTATGTATGTATAAAATCTTTGTTAACCTACACGCGTCAATCTGATTTCTAAAACTGGCAGAAGAAGAAAGAACTACAATTAAATTGTTGCACTTAAGACGGAGTTTGTCTCATATATAATGTACATTTCACATGTGATATATCTGCGTAAAGTTGATGTATTTTGATAAAATCACTGGGATAACAACACCCGCTGACAACACTGACTGCTTCCCAGCCATACAGCAGATGTCTGCTTGAATTAGAACATGCTGCATAAACCTAGAAAGCAGACATCGTGTTTTGTGAAAAAACATCCTTTTACTGTCATCCCAGTGGGATGTATTTGGGTTTTCTCGTTACAAATTGTGCCCTTCACATAACATGTTCTCTAGTTATACATACATAAATACTTTGTGTCTTTTCATAAAAGAAATACAATAACTTCCATGAAAGAAACTGATGTTCCAGGTCACAATATGTCCCTTTCATTTTCTGTCCTTGGAATGAAAATTTTATATGAATATAGGGAAAATGTCAGTCTGTATTCCTTCCCACTAATAGCAAGAAACAGTGCATTGAAATATATTAGAAATACCAATATAGCTCTATACCTGATATGTACGGTTGGAGTTTCTTACAGTGTTTATACTGTTAGGGTCACTGTCATTCCTATGGCGTCGTTTCATATGTTTGTTGTAGTTGGCCCAGTTTGTAAATTCTCTACGACATTCAGCACAGCTATAGGGCCGCTCACCAGTGTGTTGCCTGCGATGAACCTAGTACATAAGGGATAAAAGTGATTATGAAATGATGCAATTTCTCTTTCATAAGCAGGATAGTAGAAGAGTTTTACTTCACACTAATACAAATCTATATTCATGTAATCCCCATTGTTCCACTCAACTCTTCTGAAGGTTACAGCTTGTAACACAGTGTTATTTTAAATTAAAAGACAAACTGTCTAATGACATGTTAAATTTAACAATGCTGTTCTGTGCTACAACACACTTACTGACTCATGTTCATTAATGTTATCACTGCTTCATGACAAATGTCATGGCTCAGTCATTTAATACTTTTTCTGGAAATAAAAGTTTGCACAGATCTCATATGCATATCATAGCTCCCTGTATACTTGCCCCTTCTAAAAAAGAAAGCACTAATCAATGACGGATGTTACTTTTAAGTACTTTTATTACATGGAGAGTTACAATAATTGTTACTACATAAATGAAATATTGTACACCATCAAGTTTACTCAGATCATTACCTAAGATTATGTCATTGACACTATGTTGAAATGAATACCACAGTAATTTAACAGGAATACTTTTATACAGGGAGTTAGATGGTAAATTGAAAACATTTTAACTCAGTATTAATTTTACTGTGACATTTCACTTGTCTGTCAACTTCCATTTGAAACTGGACTGCAGTATGTTAAAGAACTACTATATCTGATGGTTTTCTATAATAGGAACTTCTTCAATAACATCAAGTCACTGGAAAATACTGAAATATTCTAAAGGGTATATTTAATGAAAAATTTAGCACAGAAAAGGTGTTCTTGGCAATGTCAAAATTCTCAAAGTTTACAAATCATTCTCAACAGATATTCAGCAGACAATCACATGATATAATCAAAATGAGCTAAGCATGTCTCAAATAACAATTGCACTGGCTGCAGTGAAACTCCACTAGTTATATGTTTCTGAAACTTTCTCAGTAGACATACCCCTTGGTATCCAACTAAGACTTCACATACCCCTTTTCAATGAGGACTTACTGTCTGGAACTTTTAGATTTCATAATCAACATCATCACTGGCACGACAGCCCTTTGTGAGCCCTGGCCTTCCTCAGGACTGCTCACCATAGATTTCATAATAGTTAATGATTTTATTATATTAAACTTCCTACAGGAGATCATTGTTTTCAAAGCAACACAGTCACAGAATACAAACATTATGGCATCACTCAATCATCTAATTCTCATAGAAGTTTTGTAATCATGCATTTATGAGAAAATTACACAATACAGTGAAAAATTTTTGACATTCTATAATATTATTTATTTACTCTCTGTATGATTAACATTTTACTCATACTGAAACAAAATATAAGAAATTAAGGATCGGCTGTCACTATTATGAGAACATCATAAATTTGTCAGTGTATTTCAATGTGAATTTAATCCAAGGTATGATGTAACTGCTTAACTGTAATATAAATTTACACATTTAGAGGGTTTCTTAGCGGCCTCCGTAGTCTAGGGGTAACGTTCCCACCTCATGACTCAAGGTACGCGAATTCAAACCCGGCGGAGATCGTGGAATTTTTAAGGGCGGAAAAATTCAGGGAACAAGTCCTCCAGGAGGGACTTTAAGCCGTGGGTCCCGTGTCGTAGCTTTACGGCACGTAAAAGAACCTCATGTCTCAAGGAGACCTCTGAGCTAAATTGAAGGACATTTCCCACCCAACAATAGTCTCTAATGCCTCTGGTAGATGGGGGAAGCATCTAGATATCACTGAGCCAGTAGAGGCCGAACTCGCTGGCTGAGTCGGGACTTATGGCACGCACCAGTACCAGTAGGGTATAGAGACTGGTAGAATATCACAGGGGGACATACAATAGAACAAACTGGTCGCGGTGCATGGGGAAACCCACCCCCTCCAATAATAATAATAAAATAATAGAGGGTTTCTTCAGAAAGATATGATGGCAATTTGGAAAATAACTTCCGCTTATTTTAGGCAACTAATGTAGTTGCGGGGGAAAGCTCAAGCATGCAAGGTAGCGTCAGATGACTCCTTGCCTTGCAAACCATCAAGTAACTGGTGACATAGTTTGTTCTTGTCTCTACAGAGTGCGTTATGATCTGTCCTGCAAAACTGATAATCCCATCAGCTGAAAAATTCGCACTGTTATCCATTTTCTTGAAGCTAAACACATGAGTGCTGTGGAAATCCATAATGAATTAGGAGAGGTTTACAACCAAAATGTAATGAGTGCAGGAACTGTAAGACAAGGGTGTAGAATGTTCAAAGATGGGCAAACAAATTTCACAATGCAGAGCAAAGTGGTCGATCATCTGTAGTCAGTAATGATCTTGTAAGATTTGAGGTTTTCACAGCGGTGACTATAAAGAATGCTGTCTTCTGGGATGTGGTGCCCTGTCAATCTTGTGTGAACTGATGTTTTGAAGGAGCGTATCACCTCCATCTTCAGGCTAGAAAAATATGCAAGTGAGAAACCAGCATGAGCAGCTTTAGTCACCTGCTCATAGTGATCCTCCATGCTAATGTGTCCACATACTAGTACAGCTGCTTGCAGTCAAGCACTGCTGCAGCATTTCAAGTAGGAGTCATTTGACCACCCTCCTTACAGCCCTGATCTTGCTCCAAGTGACTACTACCTGTTTACCTACAAGAACTGGTTAAGATCGCAGTGCTTCAACAAAAATTAGGAACTGATGGAAGGTGTCAAAATATGACTAAGCTCAAGGATGACAGACTTCTTTCACAGAAGCATATAAAAACTTATTCCCTCATACATCAAGTGCCTCAGTTCTGACAATGACTACACTGAGAAGTAGCTTAAGGATGTACGCATTTTTTGTATATAATGATCTTTTTCTTGTTGCTTCTTTTGTTTACAGCTCACTGGAGGTTAAATTCCGAACAGCCCTCATATGACTAGGCTATTACATTCCTACCAGTCTATAAATCTACAATTAAGCATAAAAATACAGTTTAAATTATAGTATAAAATACAGTGTAAAATACTCACTGTAAGGATACCCTTGAACCTAAAGTTCTTGCCACAGAACTCACAAGTATATGGCATGGCACCAGTATGAATACGATTGTGTTCTCTAAGAGCGCCACGTTCTCTGAATTGTTTCCCGCATACATCACACTGATGTGGTTTGATTCCTGTATGAAGAGTGGCATGTTTGCCTAGTAATCGAGCTGTCTTGAACCTAAAACAAAATTAAAAAGATTTATGTTTCACAGCAATACACAAGGGAGAAGGTGTATCAGGAAGCCGGATAAAACAGCACAATGAAAATCATTATGAGATGGGTGGAATATGAAATACCTATGCAAGAGATAAGAAATTCATAAAAAATTTAACATAGAAAAACCTGAAAAGATGAATGAGCTCAGGAAACCCGAGTGAAGATGGGAAGTTAGTATTATAATGTATCTTAAGACAGCAGGGTATGGAAGTGTGAAATGTATTCATCTAGCTCAGGACATGACAATGAATCTTCAGGTTTCTATAAAAGGCAGGAAATTCTTGTTTAAGCAAGCTCCATTAAGTTCTCAAGGACTCTGATCCACAGAGTTAAACAATCAGCTTCATGACTACTAAAACTTTATTCTTTAATTCCACGATGATAATAATGTAATGATACTTTGAGGTATTAAGAAAATGTATGCCTCCATATGAAGAGAAAATATTTTCTGAAGTAAGAAGAATGACTATAAAATAAGATGTAGCATGAAAATGATACATATCTCAAGTGATTTAAATGTTTAGAAACAAAGGAAAATAAATCAAAATAATTTCAATTCTGTATTTCAGCATCCTGTTGCACATCTTTAATATGTCTTCACTAGTGAAGACAACACCACATGAGGCTCGAGGGAACAACACACAAGCAAGAGGCATATTGCAGATTGCAGACATAGCTGCTGAGAAAAACTGTCTGGAATATACGCAATGCCCCTTACGAGGTGGAATAGGATTTTATGAAAGATTTTAATAGAAAAATTTTAAAGAACTTTAAGTAATTATTTATGTTATTTTAAGTGGACTGCAACATGCAATTATAGCGCGCATCAAAGCAGTGTAACAGTTTAGACACATCAAAACACCTGAGGATGGCTGTCTGTGGCCGAAACAGGTCATGTTGGTGTTAAATGGTGAATATTTTAATGATTGTTGCATTATTGATGGACTTAATACACAGATGTTTAATCAAAATAATTTCAAATGAGAAAGTGGAACAGCAATCATTTCACAAAACAAAATGCGGAATAATATAAGAAGTGAGATTTCCAAGTCTATAAATTGTGTCTCTGTGTATGTAAAGGATTCAATCACTTCAGATGAGACAAGGCAAACAAGGGAAAGAAACAAATAGTCTACAGAATTAACTGACGTCAAAAAAATGAATGATACAAAGCATCAGAACAGGCAAGGCATAAGAAAGTAACCTGTTCACCTGCAGGAAGCTGATTTTGTGTTACTGAGCAGAATTCTTTATTGATCTACATTAACAGGTCATACAAACCATTTCTTTTCCTGCAAGCTGCAAGACTGTCTCCAAATAACAAAATACATCTGGTAACAAAAACTAGCAATGTATATTTTGAAGTATTATTCTTCTTACATTCTGGTTCACAAACGGCTTTTCAACAATTTCATAAAAATATTGAGAACATTTATCCAAAGCATTCCATTATTGTTTATTTTTTGTATTAGTTATATCACCAAATCGCCTTATTGTTTTTGTGAATCAATTGTTACTTAGAAAATGTCACTGACAAAAGGTATACCACCATTTCTCCTATAAACCAACAATTTCAGAGTCTTAACATTTTAAAATTATTTCTGTTTCTAACCAATGGCAATGTTATAAGTTAGTACAGCTGGTTTAAAATATTGTTTCATGATGGCTGAAAAGCAGAATTATGTGGTGAGAAGAGAAATACTTCGTTAGGCTACAGCAAACCTAAACAGCCTGCCATTGTTAAGCAATGGTGCTGTAAAAAGGTTCTCACAGCAACAAATACACACACAAGGGAGGAACTGCTGGAGGATAAGACACACAACACAGAAACTATGGAAATGGAGTTTTCCATGCAATCCATGGTGAGGTCATATACCATGACCAAAACCAACAGTTAGTTCTGAGACTGATGAGTTCTGAGTCGGAAGTTGGTGCTAGTCTATGACAGTCAGTGATAGCCAGTGGTGTCCAGACATGGCTAGGAGTCAACAACCAGGAGTTGTGGCCATGAGTAACCATGAGACAGTCTGTGGCTGATAAGGAGATGAACAAGGAAGCTGAGGAATCTACAGCACTGCAAATCATTACCAAGCAACAACTGGTGAAGACACAGCAGACTGAGAAGACTTAGTGTGTGCTGTAGTGAATGGTAAAGTGCATAAATTAGTGAAACTTGTACTTGCTATGTTATAAGAGCCCAATAAATCAAAGTACCAATCTATATCCTGCATCAAGTCACTTAATTTAACTTAATTTGGCACTGAAAAGGTTAAATACCTATATATACTACGTATAAGATAATGTCTTACAAGGACTTCAAGTTTGTGAATAAATTATCAGTTTGATGAGAAAAACATGGAAGTGGTATAAAAATGGAATGACCAAATAATGCAAAGCTGGAATAATCTTTGCTATTTAGAAAGTAATATATATAATCTGGATAAACATAACTTGGATTAGCCAAGGGAAACTACACAAGAAATGAGTCAGTAAGAGACAAGGTTGTAACAATACCTTCAGAGAAAATACTGTGAAGTCAGGACAGGAGCTGTTTCTTTGCATTATATAAATGGAAAATGATGGTTTAAGTGAAGGGCAACTTTCACATAATTTCTTATTTTATGACATTAATAAAAGGGTGAAGTGGTTTAAAACAAAATACATGACAATTAAACAGGGTGAAAAAAAGCACTTACTATGTAAGTTTTGAGGTTTTCACAGCAATGACTATGAAGAAAGTCATCTTCTGGGATCTGGCGCCGTGTATTCTTGGTTTTAAACGACGTTTGGGAGGTNCCCCCAGACCATATATGGCCCTAATCACTGTTCACTCTTCCCATTGGTCCCCTCTCCCAAACCCCCCCTGCCTACTTCATATATAAACTATCACTTTTCACTTCCCAATCATTGCAGCTACTGCTCTCTGTATTTGCAACGCAATTCAACTGCCCTGAAGATGGAGGCGATATGTTCCTCCGAAACGTCGGTTAAAACCAAGAATACATGGCGCCAGATCCCAGAAGACGACTTTCTTCAAAGCACTTACTAGTTTAAAAGCTGAAATTCTTATAAACAAATATTTGAAGAATATGTAATGAAAGTTCATTTACTCACCCCTTGCCACAAACTGGACAGTGATGTGGTTTCTCCCCAGAATGCGTCAAAATATGGTAGTCAAGACTGCCTTTTGCGATAAAACTCTTTCCACAAACATCACATATAAAGTTCCGTTCTCCAGTGTGTATCTTCCGATGGGTTTCTAATGTATGCTTTGTAGCAAAGCTGCAAAGAGTCAGAACAGATTATAAGCAAAATAATTTCAATATATGTATAATACTGAAACAGTATTAACTTTAAACATAATTTTGGATGGGCAATGTTTGATTTAAGGGCAGATTTTCCAAATCTACATAAACAAATCTGAATAATATTGATGAAGACACAATTATCATTGTTCATGCAGTAAAGATGTTAAGATTGTCAGAAACAAAAATGTCAGTGTGCTGACTGTCAGAAATGGAACTGAATTACCTGCAATAAATAAAGGTTTAGAAGATGAAATCAATTACTGGAAAAGAGCATTAAGTCATGATCCAATTAAATGCATGTTACATTCAGCCTCACTGTTATTGATGGAAGTTTTACTCAGCAGACAACTTTGCTATGCATTGTGGATGACATCATTCTAACATTATACAATAACACTTCAGAAATTTTACAGGGGGAAAAAGATGTGAGGAATGAGTATGTCAATAGAGTTTTAAAGGTTAAGAAANACCTGTCGTCTTGACAGATTACTGATGATGATGATCAAAAGATGAAATGACTAATAATCAATGTGTAGATAATGCATGCATATTTCTTAACAAACAGTGAACAGTGCATGTTTTTGATGGACACATTACTTAAGTGACATCAGTAACTCTTGAATTTTTGTTAATAAAAGTATATAGTTACTCACTCTTTATGGCAAATGTCACAGGGGAACTTGGGCTTCACTTGGTCAGGAAGATGACACTTGCTGTGTAGGTACAATGAACTAAACTGTTTGAAAGCTTTCCCACACTGTGGGCATACATGAGGGCGGGCATCAGTGTGAACAGTGCTGTGTGACTGTAGAACTGTCTTTTGGGAAAAACATTTCCCACATTCTTCACACCTGAAACAGTATTCACTTTAATTACTTTCTTACTTACTTACTCATGGAGCTGAGCCCTTCTGGAGGAGCCGCCAATTCTGCAGCTACTCAAGAATTTCCAAGCATTTTATGGAACCCAAAGGTTCATTACTGTGTTCACAAGAGCCCTCCACTGGTCCCTATTCTGAGCCAAATCAATCCAATCAATACCATCCCATCTTATCTCTCTAAGATCCATTTTAATACTGTCCACCCATCTATGCCTTGGTCTTCCCAGTGGTCTCTTTCCTTCTGGCTTTCCCACCAATAGTATTCCCTTTAATTAACCTGCAAAATTACAAGGTACTGGTCCAGATCATAATTTTGATATATAACATAATTTGGACAAATGCAATCAATGATTTGTGTGTGTGTGTGTGTGTGTGTGAGTGAGAGAGAGACAGCCAAATTTAAGAAACACGAGTAGTCATTGCACTATCTTCACCACTGGAAGTTAAAAGTGCAAACAATTGCACATTAATATAACATTATGTTTACAAATACACCTGTGTAGGAATAGATTAAGAATGAGAGTAATCTCACTAATATTTTACTGTCAAACAAATAATATGTAGGCCATGGAAAGTTTGTGCAACATATTTATCACTGCTTTAGTTACAAGTGCAAATATGCCACATACATGGGGAAGTCTGGCACCCATTCACCATTGTTAATTTTATTTGAATGAATATAATTACTGAAAAACAAGAGACTGAAAATTTTTACTCACCTGTAGAGACTGCCAAATATTATAGAGACAAGTATAAATTAATTATTTTAAAATGTTCAGAGAACACTTACTCACTAGCATGAAATATTCAGTAGTCTGAGTACCTATGCCCAGGATATTTCAATGCCTAAACTCTCACACTGATTGACTTTGTCAGCAAACTTTCAATGGGTACTGCATACTAAAATGATGCTCTATCAAAAATTTATTTCTCAAATTTATTGCCTCTATAACAGTAGGGAATCATCTAACATTTAATTTATAATCATTTTAATAATTTATTCTTATATTCAAGTAGATCCAATTAGAGGGCGAGAAACAAGTTGTCACACCACTGGATATAGAACGTGTCAAAAATCAAAACAAATGTTCCAACCAATCACTGGAACAAGTAAAAATAACATTATTACATTTAAGCATCCTGTTGCACTCTATACGATAAATGATATAAACACCGTCCTAAGTGCAAACAATATATTATATGTCCTTGATCTTGCTCCGCTTTACACTACATGTTTCGGCCTCAAACGGCCATCATCAGGTGTATACACTCACGTTGCTGTTACACTGCACATAGTTTAAAATTTAACATTTAAAAACACATTGTTCCTTTCGTTGTTATTATCAACATCTACTTCGTTGATATCTGTCTGATTTATAGATTATTTTTGTTACACACATTAGCACTTATAAAATCTTTGGTTCTAATTTTAAATCCTTTAAAA